TTCAAATGGCTCCTCTACAATGAAGCCAATACCACTGCCATTCAAAATTACAATCTTCTCTCATGACTACTTTTTTTCATTTTTCCAAAATGTTACCTTTCTAACACTAAAATGATGTACTTATTTATATTTATTGCATTTCAATCTCTCCGAGGAGAGATCCTAGAGCTTCACACACAGAAGGCCTTCAAACAAACTGTGTTGAATGCATAGAATGAAACTGCGGAGCCTTCCTCAAATCCCAGAGATGGAGTGAGGTTTTTTTTCTCTATATTAACTCTTTGATTATTCTTTTAGTCTTTTTATTATGAATTATTATCATTTATGTACCTGTCTTTTGCATTACCGAGCCATGATCCTTTGAACATTCTCACTACCTTTATTTGCAGAAAACAGTACAGAGTCTGTCATAAACCAAAGACATGCCAACTTAATGAATGTGCAAAGATGCTACACACACAGTTCCTTGACTCCAAATCTCTAGCTCTGCAAGTCAGTTATTGTTTCAAAGTCTCTTCCCAACCCCCACTGTAAATACATGTACATACACACTCCACTAATTGAGATAATTTAAAACTATTTTTCACATATTTGCTTAATTAACATGCAGTGACCTCTGCAGAAACACTGGCCTCTGATGATTGTAGGAGGTAGTCTTTTGGCATGGACACCAAAGCATCAGAGTCAGCTGGAACTAAGGAAAGCAATAACACAAACGGTTTTAATTACTCATGACAGGCAGCTGAATCTATCTGACACAGGCCTTCTCCCCAGTCCATCACTCAGAAAAGGTCAGTTACAGGAAATGGTGGAGAGGGAAAAAAAGAAGGGGCCACACTGTGTCCATAACACAAAGCAGATCGTCTTTCATATGCGCGACCTTATTCTTTCTGTTTAAGGTTTTTATGCTGGTCCCAAATCTATACGATGTCTGACCCACCAAGACTCATCATGCTTTTATACTCATCAACGGCTTTCAGGAGGTATAACTCCGATTTTTAAAAGAGGAGGCAGGTGAATACTGCACCCATCTGTGAATCACTGTGCAACCCCAGGGGTCCTGCAAAGTTCATATAGAATCTCAGGCATGCTTGCAGTTAATCTATCTGTGAAGTATACAGGTGAGCCTCTTCCACTTCTGTTCAACATTCACAGAAGGATTGACTTTATCTATAACCGAGTTTCTCTGGACCTGTTGCTCTATGGGAAATGGGTGAGGATTAGGATTCGCTCTGTTATAATCTGCCCCTAATTTTAACATGTCTTTCTTACCCAGAGTATATCAACCTAATGAAACCACGGGCTCTGGGATGGCCATATCCTTGGGTTGGATGCTGTTAAAAATAGCAAGCAAGCTTCCCCACCTGAGCAGGATTTGACCTCAGGACCTGATCTTGCTTTGGTTTCTCCCCACACTCTTGCCTGGCCGCTGAGCTCACCGGCCTTGTGTTTCTGGACATTTCCTCCTGGCTCTCACTGCTTGCTCTGTTCTGGATAGCCTCATATAGCCCCCTGCTCGTGGAACTTCAGAAGCCCTTGATTTTTCCTGCTGTGTTGCTGATTCCTGTCCGATGCCTCTAGAAATCAAGACAGCCCTGGGCGTATCTGCTTTTGACATCACCTTGCCTTCTTCCCGCAACAGTCTTGAGTTCCTGCAGTGTGATGAGGCCTGTGATAGAGACGGAGACTCTCATCACAGATACTCCTGCAACGAGCTCAGGGTTTAATCAAGGAAATGGCAGTAAGCAGAGGATTATGATGCCGAGAGATCATGTCTATGACAGGGTAAGCAGAGGGTGGCACAGAACTGGGCACTTCCCCACCAGCTGGGCGCTGGGTGAAGGGAATTTCCAGAAGTCTGCAACATCGAGGGAATCTGGGCCAGAAAAAATAATGCAATATATTCTATGCTGAGGAAGTGATGTCTATTAATGTCCTGGGCCATATATCAGGCTCCTTCAGGGAACTACAGTCAGGGGTACAGTAGTACAGGCTGGAGAGGGAAACCAGGGCCAGATCATGAGGCTTCCTAAGCCATTCTAAAGAGATGAGAGTTATGATACAGGTGATGGGGAATCACTGGCAGGTTCCATGTGACACAATCCATAAAGAGCAGCAGTGTGCAGGATGGTTCCCCTACCCAGCTATTCCCTTGCCTACCTTGTCCTTCTCGGTTCTGAAGAGCCCAGCTCCACACCTCCTCCCCACCAGTGTCCTCAAGCAAAAATAATCCCAGCATCAATCTGAGGGCTTATTTAAAAAACACAAATTATCCCACTTCATAGAACCAAACCCTCCTGGGGATGAAGGCTGGGAATCTCTATGATTCTGAGACAGCTGACATGGACAGGTTTTTGGGAACTAGTGAAGGCTACCACTTATGCCACTGGCTTGCAGATGTCCTGATAATCACAAGTTTGTCTTCCTAAATTAGACTGAAGACAGCTGGAGTAGGTCACCTAAATGTCTTCTTTCCACAGTATCTATCTACCTTCAAGGCCAGAAAAAAACCACTCTCCCACCTGCATCCTTCTAGAACTTGTGTGTGTCCTTTGAGTAGCATGTCCACGCCTCCACATGCTCAATGAGGCCACGTGATCTGGCTCTGGTTCCTCTCAAACCACTGCTCTCTGTACTTTGTACCTATTCCTAAAAATACAGAGGTCAGTGGTGTTGACACAATTTACTTCCAATCTCCATTTTCTCCATTAAATCAAGGATAGATGTGGAGTCGGGGGATTTGTGCAGAGCAATAAAGATCTAAGTGGAACAACTTAGGAAGGGAAACAAAGAAGGCCTCTGGCTTGCTCACCACCCACAGATGTCACCACCCACAGATGTACCCCTGCAGCCATACCTGCAGCTTCTAGGTGCTGTTATGGGCCAGGCTATATGGGCAATGACCAAACAGACTCCATTTTAGCCTGAGACTCCGTAACATGGAAGAAATGCTTCTCCCGTGGGAAAGCGCCGCCTCTGTGCCCATTAATAGTTACCTAACATAACATACTTGGCAACACAAAATAGCAATCTTATACAATGTAAAATTGTTCTCTTTGCTTTCCCTTTTTCTTGGGCAATGTACCTTGTCAGAGATTGTCTAGACGTTAGTAACCATTCTCTAACTTGTACTCAACTAGGGTCATTTTGACCTACTTCCCTTCTGCTTGCTTGCTGCTATGCCAACCTGGAAAGTCCCGTGGGAAATACCAATGTACCCATTGCATTGTCTCGTTAACTGCCCAATTCAGCTTCTGTACTTGCTTGCCTACATTGGCTAAACCCCCAAACATCCCTATAGTGGTTTTTTGGCTTAAATGTGAGGTCAACTAAAGGTGGGCATGCCACTCTATCTCGTTCTTTGGAGACCAGAGTGTCTGCCACTGGCCAGCACTGAAGGCTTAATTGGAATGGCAATGTGTGGTCTGAGAGTTATATAACGGTGCTACAAAAGGAGCAAGTTGAAAGACGAGAGAATAAAGCGTGTTGGTGTAAAAGAAATAGAAAATTCCCAGGACAGGCCGAAAAGCTCCAAAACTCATAGTGGGCTAAAGCATGAGCACCCGCGTTTTATCCCACATAGGCTGCCTGGTAATGGTTCACCATCTGACTCGGTCTGGCCTCTGGCTTGCTCACCACACACAGATGCCAACTCATCTTGCGTGTATGTGACTCCAGGCTACAATGAGTAACGGCCATACCTGGAGGTGCCGAGGTCAGAGGCAGTGACACCAATTTCCAGCACACTAGAGGAAATTACCCAGGTAGCTGTAAAGATTCTATAGGGACAGTCTTCCTCTTGCATTAGCGCCATGCCTTGGAATGTGATGTTTATGGTAGCTTAGCTGTACAGGAGTAGGCCTTCTTGACTTTAATTGGTTATCAGAATTTCATGGAAGACTCAACATATATCAAAACACATGAACTTCTACATGAAAATATTGGAGTGTTTTAAAGACAAGAGCAAGAACATGTAAACATTCTGCTTATAAATATCAGAATTTTTCTTTTCGAAAGATTTCGGGTTATCTTTAAATTAACCCTCTGCCTTATGTTAATCCAGCTAGTTCAATTTTAGGTTTTAGGCCATTTCTTTGTCCACTTCTTTTGATGCCTCTTTTCCCAGTGCACCTTCATTTCAATCAAGGAACCAGGAGCAGCCGCAAGGGAACAGGCAGTGTTGGAAGTCAGTGGCTAAAATTAGATTTTCAATGACATTTACTTGTATGTTCTAGGCTGAAACTTCAGAGTACAGCACTTTCTATGAAAGGAGACACTTCCTCATCACTGTAATGCAGACTTCTGTTATCAAATTACACCCATATTACATCACTGGGTAACTGAGACCCAAAATAGAAAGTGAAACCATATACATTTTCAGCCAAGAGAAGGGCTAAAGACAAAATTAATTGACATGTTTTCACAAGATTATTTACTCAGTGCCTTGTTAATTAGGGGGAGATGTTTGTTCAAGAGAAGTAGTAGTATCAAGGAGGGAAGAAGAATAGAGTAACTGACCCCAGGGCAAGGAAGCGGGTGTCAGCTTTCTCTCACCCATGCTGGACAACTCTATTACACAAACAATCAGTGAGGAAGAGAGTTGAGAATTCATAAGTACTGTTTCCTTTTCTATTTTCATTCACACTTGTACAGGTGAGGTGTCTATAAGCTGTTTCTTATAGGGTTTTTCAGGATGTTCCCACTCCATCTTTCAGAAAGCCCATGGAGAGTCCGCACATGTCCATTACAGCGTGTGCCCATCATTGTGTGCACATTAGAGTGTGCATTATCCCACCAGTGAGTCCTGTACATATGACATCATCAACCATCACAGAGTGTGCCCACCGTCCTGTGCACACCAGTGTGTGCATTATTGCATTAGTGAAACCTGTACATACAGCATCATCAGTCATTTCCAGATGTGCATTGCATCCCTTCTCTCCATCTCTGTCTGCATTTCGGGGACACCCTGGAGGAGCTCCCCAGACCCAAAGCACCTCTGCCCAGTGCAGGCGCTCATCCCCACTGCCGCTCAGGAGTGTCTGTGGTTGTGCAGTGCAAACATCCACACTGGCACGCACTGCTCCGGAAAGCCCTCTTGCTTCTCCTGGCCCAGCACGGCCAGCCCACTCTTCCTAATGAGGCTCCAGAGGATGTCCATGTCCCGAGTCACACTGCTGTCAGACAGATCGAAGGTACAGCCCTCCCGGGCCACATTGTCCTTCAGTATGATGACACCATTTTCTTTCAGGCCATCTCGGCATCGGGAAAGAAATGCAAGAAGGTCCTTGTCAGTCAGGTAGCCTACAGGTGGGGCCCAGTTGATGGGAAACAGGATGAAACAGTGGGGAGGGAGGAGAGCAGGGAAGAACGCAAGGCTCAGTCACAGAATACTTAATAACCCAAGTCGTTGTAGTTGCAGGAGTCTTTGAAAATCTAGATGAAGAACACACATCCTCTTTGCTCAAGTCCCTGTCTTTAAAGTACATATTATACTACCTGGCCTACCTACCTCACAAGAATGAGAGAGACACTGGTGTCTATCCCATGAGTCCCTCCAATTTCCTTGGCCAACCCAACTCCACGGCCACTCCTTAGTGAATCCTGTGCTCATGCGCGCACGCACAGACACCCCTAATTCCCTGTTGTCTTGTTTCCTCGGAATTTAAGTCTAAGAATGACTATTCTGCCAATATATGGGGATTAACCCTTTGGGGCCCACTTGTTAAATCTCTTCAAGTATTTATGTTTCTTCAAGGATTTAGGTTGTTGGTGTGAGGACACCGGCTCCATCCTCGTGGGTGGGGATGAACCGTCCAGCTTGTACAGAGAACACGGGGAGAAATCTGGGAGCGGGGACTGTGGGGTTCTCATGACACCCAGGGCTAGCTAACTGCTCTCGACAGGAGTCCAGGGAAGACGCCCCTCGAGTGCTTGTGAGCCCCACGTCTGTCTTGTGCAGCTGAGAAGCGGGGAGGGCAGAGGCCAGGCCACACGAGACTAACCTGAGACCCACTGGATCCAGATGACGTCGTATCTCCCGCAGGGGGGCGTGAACTCCTGCAGGCCGTAGCAGTGGTAGCTCTCTACCTTGTCCGCTTTGACCTGCAGGTAGCTCTGGGCCTCAAGGAGGAAAGGCTCCATCATGTCCACCAGCTCCACGCTGTCGAAAACCGGCAGCAAGACGTGCTTGCTCACCCTTCCTATCCCAGAGCCACAGTCCAGGGCGCAGCCGGTTCCAGCTCTGCCGGGCCCCTGCGGGAAGATGCCTTGTGGGACACTCAAGGAGGGGATTCACCCCGAGCCTCAGACACTCCAATCGCCACTTTAGACCAGCTGCATTTGTGTCGACTTTATTGGGTAAAATGTGCAACTTATGTGTACAATTCAACAAGTTCGGACAAATGTGAATAGCCAAGTACCCACTGCCACAATCAAGATACAGAATATTTCATTGTTTCCCCCCCCCAAATCCAGACATTTCTAGTTCTACTTTATTTTACTCAAATATGGGTGTTTAAAAGAATTGCAAACTTATTTTATTTTAAAATAATATCTAAGGTTTAAGCAGTTGGTAATTCTCCCCAAGAAATGAGCCAACCCTGGCTCTATAAAAATAGAATTTTCATATCTACAATTTAGGTTAAACCTACAGCTAAAGGGACCAGCACTGTAGGTGATTACTTTGTAAAATAGGGCAGGGGGAGGAGCCAAACAGTGAGAGTCTCTCTTGAGTTTTAAAATTACTTTAAAAATTCATTCCATGAAAACATTCCAGTTCATACTGGGATAATTGAAATTTTATTTTTTCTAAACTGGATTTAGGGGGTAAATCTGGGGACCTTAGCTGGGAAATGCAACTGTCCCATTCTCTGGCCAGGATTTTATTTCAAATCCAGCCCAGATGGCACCCGGCATGTTGCTGTGAGTGAAGGGTAATTTCAGCAGTCCCCTTTGATGCTAAAAATTGTGTTCTGCTTTTTGCACCAGAAGCATCAGGCTTACCGGGAACTTTTTTTAAAAAGTAAGTCTGTGAATTAAATCAACTGAAGGTGAGTGGCTGAGGAGGTGGTGGGGGCAGGAAGTTAGCCAATGCAAACTTTCTCCAACTTGCTTCTATACAAATTTTTTTTTAAAGTTTTCTGATTTTTGAAGAGTCAGCTGGTCTAAATTATTTGGACATGATTGGGATGGATGCTAAATAGGTTTTGTGCTAGAAATCACAGTAACAAGATATGTGAAGTTACCAATAAAGGTCTTAAAAAGAAAGCCGATTCTTGATTTCTCAGGAATTAAGGGTAAAATAAAAACCTTTGGCTCTGGATCACAGATGTAGTACAGAGGAAATATCAAGAAATATGCCTTCCATTCCATCCAGAATGTCCCCCTTACGTTAGAAAGGTTCAATGAAGAACAAAAAGTATAGCGATCATAGCTTCTTTTCAAATGGGATAGTGACCATCATAAGTTGATGTTTACATGTAGCAAACTGTATCTATAATAATTATAACTCCATAACACTCCATTAGATGATTATTGTTGTAATGTTATTCTCTGGATATGAGGTGTTCCCCAAAAGCTCTTGTTAGTGTAGGAATATTCAGAGGTGAAATACTGGATTATAAAACCTGTAACCTAGTCCATCCTAGTTTGAATGGACTGACTAGATGGTAGCTGTAGGCAGGTGGGATTGGCTGGAGGATGTGGGTGGTTGGGGGCTGCCCTGGCAGGGGCATCTTCCCTGCTCTCTGTGCTTTCTGGCTACCATGAGCAGTTTTCCTCCCCCAAGCCCTTTGGCTATGATGCTGCGCCTCACCTTGGGCCCAGGGCAATGGACTTGGGTGACCGTGGACCTCCCTCCTCTAAGTTTTTCTTGTTGAGTATTTTGGTCAGAGTAATAAAAAGCTGACTAACACATTGTAGATGAGAAAACTCAGGTTCCCAATATATGGCAGAACTGAATTTGAACAGGAACTGCCTGAATCCAGAGTCAGTTTTAGGAACATTAGGACATAACCTCAACTGGCAAGCATTTTCCCTTGGTAGAGTCTATGCAATGCTATATTCAGAATAACTAAGGCTTCGGCAAGACTCAGCAGGAAAGGGATCTACAGTGATGAGTGGTGTCTGCCTTGAGGACAGGAAGGGGAGGTGGTGGTGCTCAGCCACGTGTTGTTGGTCATCTCTGCTGTGCTCCGCTGCCTTCTTCATTCAGATGTGATGATTTGAACTAAATGAATTCAGGAAAAGGCCCAGACTAAAGGTCTGTGCTGTACATACACAGCATTGTAAAGGCAGCATTTCTGAGTAACTTCCTAAGATGGGATAAAGTATAAGGAAATTACTTTAAGCTACTAGAAATGACTTTACTAGAAATGTATGTGCTCAATCAGCAATTCTCGTTACAAATTTATCTCCTAGCTACTTGGCTCTATGAGCCTCTGGTCATGTTGCTGTCATTAGTGGGGCAGGTGGTTTCAGAAGGAGAACTACGGAGCAATAAAGCCGAGAGACCTTAGAGATCCATGTCAGAGGATTTGACTAGAACAAGTGAACATCTGTTTTTCCATGAATAGAGAGACAGGAGGCTGCTCTGGTTCAAGGGAGGCGGAGCCCTGCCACTCCACCTTCCCACAGCTCTCCAAGGAGCCCTTCAGAATCTCACTAAAACCCCGGGGCTTTAAAATCACGTGTTTAATTCCTTTATTTCACACAAAGAAACTGAGGCAAAATGTTTGAAATAAACCTTCCTTGGAGATGGTTATCCTCTAAGTAGTGAAATCCATTTAGTACGTGAAATCTGAGCAGAGATTCTTGAAACTGTTGTCGTTTACAAACACACAGGCTGTCCTTTCTGCCAGACGCTGTGCACCAGGCCTCCGGTGCAGTCGCCTGATTCTTTACTCTGCTTCATGTGATACGGTTGGCACAACGTCTCATTCACAGGCAGCTCCTCTGAGAAGGAATGTTTACAGCCTGAGCTCAGGGACTGCACCTCTGCTGTTGGACACTGTGGCTGCAGACGCTGTGATCGCGTTGGAATCTGATGCCCTTGGTGAATGTGGCCAGAGCTTTGTACAACGCACAACCTCAGAACGAGATATTCTGGCATTTTCATTTTCATTTAATATACTCTCTTTCATTTATGGATTCATAGAGAACAGTAAAACGACTAGCGCTCTCATGTTACTTATGATTCTGCCTCTGTATGTCATTTCAAAGAACATTACTTTAAGCTCATCCAGAAGAATCTAGAACTAAAGTCAAAGCACTTCCTGGCACACCTTAAAATCCATGAAATAACGGGGCACAGAGGTGCCCACCTGGAATGCCCGCAACTGGGGCTGCAGCGGAAGGGTCCCAGGTTCAAGGCCAGCCTGGGCCACCGAGTGAGGCCTTGTCTCAAAAATATTTTTGTTTTTTTAAAAAGGGCTGGGGTATAGCTCAGTGGTAGAGCATTTACCTAGTATGTGTGAGGTCCTGGGTTCAATTCCTAGCAACACACACACACACACACGAAACGAACTACAACAAGTTAGATTGTGATTTTTTAGTCATCCGATCTCTGTGAAATGTTTTTTTTTTTTAAAAAAAAGGTCATCAAATACTGATTTTTTTAAAAATGAATTCCCCCTCCATAGACATCTAAACCTGAGGAAATTTATCAGTTATGCCACTGATGTCATATTGATACCCTTTGTCTATTTGCTAAAGTAAATACGTTTGTGAGTAGATTAAACACCTTTTCCCACTGTCCCATGTCACTGGGTGTTGAAAGGAAAGCAAAACTCTGAATTAAACAATCTGCCTTTTCTCGGTTGACATAAGAATAAATCATGTCAGATACTCATATTCCCTAAGTCCTTGTTTCTTGACCTGGATACTAATTTAGCAGATTATTAAGGTCAAAGTACTAAAAATATCATTCCTTAAAAAAGACTGTGTTTGTGCTTAGTGAGAGGTCACAGCTTTACAATGAGCCTTGTCTGCTAAGAAGAGCTCCTTCTTATTTGAGAGGAGCAGTCTGCCTCATTTCCAACATAAACACGCGAGCACAAGACGCTTTCCTTTCCCAGGTCCTGGACGTGCTCAAGGGCTCTGTAGGACCAGCATCCCTGCGGTCAGCTTGGCATTCCACACAGAGTGACAAGACAGCTGGATTACTAACTAAGCTTCTGAAATGCTTCAGGATCAAAGTCGGCCTCACCACCAGGCGAGCAGGAGCGATTGCTTTGGGCCAGACTGGAGAGGTGAGGTTTCTCTGGTCCATGGAAAAAAAGCAAGGATTTTTCTACTTTGCAAGACAAATGGAAAAAATATGTCAGAGTTAAAAGCAGGCGGTTTGGTGTCAGACAGATCTGGCTGGGCTTAGTGTCAGCTCTGTCTCTTACCAGTGTGTAACCTTGACAACTTATTTAACCTTCTCAGCCTCAGTTTCCACAACCATAAAAATGAGCTAGGACAGTCCTTACTTTAAGAACTGCTGTGGAGAGGAAAGAGGACAGAGCTTCTACAGTGCTTGGCAGAGTGACTGACCATCTTAGAAAAGACTTCCGTGAAGTGGGTCAGAAACACTGACGTGGTGGGCCTGACCTTCGTCTCTGCACGTCCCAGTCCTTTCTGATTGTGGCCAGGGTCCAGACAGACACTTTGGCCCCAGGAAATGTTCCACCCTCATCACATTTTCTCTACCACCAGGCTTGGGACCTGGGTGCTCCAGGAGCTGGAAGTGACACAAACCTAGTGACAACACCATGCTTCCAAGTAGGTCAACAGCCTAACTCCAAAGCTGAATATCCACGATGTTTCCTCTATCAGAACAAAATGGGGTCTGAATTGCAAATCTATGACTTTGTAGTGAATTGGAACAAGCATCATTTGCAAATGGTCTTATCCTCAGTAGGACCAAAAGCAGCTTTACTGGGTGGGTGAAGTCTACTCTCACAACTACACAAAGTTCCTTATTAAACACGTTCCATGACGTCATGTTAGTAGTTGTAGCAGTAAGTTAGATGGAGCGGGTACTCATTTTGTGAACTAAAGCAGGAACTTGACATGTGTGAGCGTATTTGATCTTCACATTCTTCTATGAAGCAGATTCTGTGGTCATGCCTGAGTCACAAATTTAAGTAACAAGCCCAGGATTGCTTCTGCATTAAGTAGGAGGACTTCAATGACTGTAGAGCCCAAGGTTTGACCCTTATACTCTGCAATTTCCACAGGACCTGGACATAGGGCAGTGGAGGCTCACCCCAAACCAGACTACAAAGGGATCATGTTCTTTCAAGGAGAAATCTGAACTATGTAAAAAAAATAATACAAAGGGATTCTGCCACCCTTACTATTAAACTGAACATAAGCATACATTTCTTTTCGACAACCAATTTGTTATTATGGGAAATTCAATAAATCAACCCAAGTTCCCAAAGGTATATCTCATTATTTATCTGGATGTCAACTTTTTATCGCTGAGATATTTAAGAAATGTCTTCTTAATCCTCAAATGCAGTATCAGCACTGCAGGTTCACCTTCCCTTGAAGCATGTAAGATTAGCTAATGCTAGGAGGGCAAAATGTCCAGTGGGACAAGCCAGGAGTCTGATGAAGTCCATCCTTCATGAACATCTTAAGACAGGCTGAACTCAGCTGAGCCCACGGCTTTAACCCGACTAAATTTACCACACAGAAGCACTTGAGCTCGGTATTGGCAGGGACTTTGCCCTCTCATCAAGCTGCAGTTAGATAACTCACCCCAACAAATTTCCTAAGAAATTCCCGAGAGGCCTGGATATCTGGGCTGGAGAGTTCAATGAAGTTCCCCATCATGCCTTCTTCTGTGGCTGGCACTTCTTGATAGAAAAGTTTAGCTCTAGCATAGAACTGCATCTCTCCATTGATGACTTGGCTTGTTAAGGCATACAACTTTACTGCAAATGAAACATTATTAATAGTTATTATATCATAGAACAACTCAGTCTTATTGTGCACTGAAATTCCTCTTTCAAGACTGTGAATTTGTATGTGGAAGAAAGAACACTGGAGTGAAGTCAGAGGATCTGGGTTTGAGCTCTGGTTCAGGGACTTACATGCTATATAATACTGTGAGACTTCTAAAACTCTTGTGATCTCAGGAGATTTCATCTGTCAATCACAGGTGACATTTTCATTAATGAGTAACTCTGTCATTTAATAAACACAGTTACCATTGTGTTTTTGAAGTTTAACAGTTTTTTGGCTGCAATAAAAATTTCATCAGTTTCATGGTGAGTTTTATCTCTGAGTTCAAATGTTTTATGATAATTTTTCTCACTAGTTCTTGCTTCTAATCACAAAGCAGGGGTAAATCATTTTCATTTCTTTTTAAGCAACACATATCCCAATATGTCTTTGTACCCACCTTATAGAAATGTAGTTGAGCTCTACCTTCTGAAAATAAAATGCAGAAAGAAACAATATCTATTGAGCAGCTATTCTGTACCATAGGCACACTGTCATTTCATTATTTCAAAACACACAAGGTATTATTTTAAGACATTTATTTTTGGAAAAACATGTGCTCTAACTTCCAAGCCATGAATGAGAATGCATTTATGTGTGTTTTGACAACCAAAATTCACCCATGCAGATATAAAATATTTTCATTAGAGGATATTCAAAAGGAAATGATTGAAAGTGGATGAAAAGGAAGAACTTTCAATTCAAGATTGCAGACCAAGTATACACATTTGTTTTCTGTGCCTCCAATACTCCCCGAGAAGTTTTGAACTAGAGTCAATCCACTTAGTGAAGAAAATAAGAGGGGATCACCGATGGATTCATGATTTCAATGAATTTATGGAAGGCAAAAATCAGATAGAATAAAGCTCAATAATTTGCACATCAAAATAGTTGCAAGAGGAAATTACATTCCAGATTTAGAGCCAATCAGAGGAAAGTGTAAGAATAGGAGTGAAAGCTGAAAAAATAATAATTAATCAAAAGCCTATCTACAGAACAACTAGGTGAGGGGACAAATGCACCGCTTAAACACAACAGGCAATACATCTGCCTTCACCATGGAAAAATATGTCTCTTCTCTAAAAATACAAAAATAAATAAATTGCTTGGGAAAAACTAAACTAGCTTTTAGCATCAGAATCCTAGAACTCCACTTGCTTTAGCATGTAAAAGACTCCACACGCCTCACACTCATCAGAGTTTGATAAGGGCTATCTGTACGTGTGGAGTTTCATGTCACCTTTCTATTTTTGAGATGATTACACAGCAGAGGAAACCTTATTCATTACCTTGTCATGTATTCCTACATGTAGATAAACAATGATCTCCAAACTCATGAGAGTAAAATGTCAGCCTGAAAGAAAAAGATTCAGATAAATCATCAGAATTGACCCAAAAGGAAATAGAAGTGATTCAAGAAGTGGATAAGAATTTAAGTCAAAACACAACCAAAATCTCATATGTCTTTGAAGAAACATAAGAACAGGTGCATTCATCAGTCCAAGATAAGATCCAAAAAAGAAAATGACAATGATAATTCAAAGAATAAAAAGGAATTCTTAGAAATTAAAGTTTTGGAATATTGGATACATTTCCAGAACATAAAACAGAAGGACAGATATGAAAACAGAAGTAAAAAGACAAATGTATAAACCTACAAAGACTTAATTCAAGCTAAGTAAGATAAAATTGTTTTAAAAGGAAATTAATAAAATAGAGGAACAAGAGCAACTAAAGACAAATACTAGAAGAAAACTTTCCAGACTGAAAAAGATTATAAGTGTTGAGCAGTATAGCTTTTTGAAAAAGCAACGTTTACATTTGTCCTGAAGAAATTTCAAAACAGAAAGAATAATAATAAGATCCTAAAGCCATTTTGAGGGGTAAAATTGGTTGATCTTCAATTTTTCCCAGATATAGCAAATTAAAATATAGTACTCACAGTTATATTTGAATTTTTGATAAACAATAAGTAATTAGTATCTTAGAGAACACAATCCTATGTTCAAAAGACTGAGACCAGGCTTATACCACAAATCTTATCAGAAATGCTAGATAACAATGATAAAATGCCATCAATACTCTGAAGAAAAATTATTTTGAAAATAACTTTAATACCCAGTTAAACTATCAAAAGAATATTTACCTCCCATGGATTCATCCTTCCGAAGTTTCTTGAAGTTATATTCTAGACCAATTAGGGTTAAAATCAAGAGAAGACGCATGATGAAGGATGATGTAATTAACCCAGGAATACCCAAATGACAGCTGTTTATCAAATCTGGAAAGAAATCAGTTTACATTACAAGAGAAAGACTGGATTCTAGGCAATAGAGAGAGTAGGCAAAAAGCAAGGAGACATCAGTATTATTCTAAGGAAGATGTGTTTTTATATCAATCACCAAAAATTTTAAAAAAGCAGTTGAAAACTCTAAGCAAAACACTTAGATTCAAAAATATTATGATCATGGTATGAAGCAAAGCAAAATATGGCATAATTTTGAGAAGAGGAAATCAAAGAAAAAATCTATTAAACCTTAACTAACAACATTTTTCTTTAGATAATCCCAAAATTGTGATATTCAACTAGTGTATTAATTGCTTCTAAACTGAACAACTTAAATTCAAGAGTCAATTGAAAATTGATTTTAAAAGTTAAAAATCCAATAAACACCACTTATATCACTGTGACTATGTTCCATCTTTGGATTTACACCAGCATTTTCCAACTTAAGCACACTGGAGCCATATTTGAACCCTCAGTGACCTTGAATTTGCTGCAAGAGTTGCAATAATCCGCATCCAGGTATGCCATTTTCTGGAGACTAACAATATTACTTGCTATCTCCCCCACACATGTTGACTACTGTGCATAAAAAGTCATTTTAAAAATACAAATCTTTAAGAAGTTTTAACAAATATAGAAGGCTTCTGCCACTTTATATACAAATTAGCTACTGATTGAGGGAACACATTAGAAGTAGGATCCTCCAGTTCAAAAACAGAGAGAACTACTGGCCTATACCAATCCCCCTTCCTAGCAATTGGTAAAGTGTGTGTAAATAGCAGGTAGCTCAATAAATGCTTATTAAATCCAAAAGGATGTCAAAAACAGGCAGGCATTGTCATCCTAATAATATGACTGTTACAAATTCTGGATATTTCACAAAAATCATGCTGGAAAAGTACAGCTCCCAGATTCTGCCCAAGGTTGAATGCTGCTGCTCTGGGGCCCCTGACAAGCCACAGTCCAGGGCTCTCCTTTGTCCAAGCAAAGCTCCAAGCAGCCACACTCATCATCACCTGCTTAAGTCCACTAGTTGGTGCAGTCTATTAAAACCTTTTATCTGGAAATGGGAATGGTCCATTATGCCAGCATCCTTTAGACCACAAGTGAATGCCAAGCTCAGCAGGTGTCAGCCTCGGTAGGTGGGCTTTTATGGTTCTCATTTTCACCTAATTGACAGGTGCATTTCACTAAAAAAGATATATGAGGTGTCACAGGGAGTCCCAAGTTCTCCCCTTCTGATATCTGTGCATGTTGACTCAGATAAGGCAATTGGTCAACAGCCATGCCTTTAAATATGGAAATGCATGTAATGGCTTGTTCTTGTAGCATTGTAATGCCTTTGTGAAACGTGGGGTACTCTAAGACAGAGACCAGACACATTATTCCTTGGTACAACATGATACTTATTTCTTGACCTACATTACAAACTGAACTCCCAAGGACAAAAACAGAGAACACATTCATTTGCTCTGAAAGAGAAAAAGGATTTTGTGAAATTTCTAGGAAAGGTGACTATCCAAGAGGATGTTCAGCAAGAGTCGGTTCATCTATGACTTTAGTTGTAAAGCACCAATACAACCCTCAAGAAACAGAAGACAAAGCCCAATCCCTCTCTCACGGAGATTACAAACTAGAAAGGGGCAGTTGAGTTACACATCACTACGTGCCCAGTGAATGGTACAAGCACTAGTAGTCTTGGGGGATCAGAGATGCCTGCAAGTAGGAGCAGTTAGGGAAAGATTCCAAAAGACCTCAGCCACCAAGGATGATTTTATTTGGGTTAGCAAAAAGTTACAGGGAAAGGCATTTCACACAGTGTGGATATGTGGATAAAATGTAGAATCTTCTATTCTTGTCAAATGAAAGCCTATGGAAACACTTTCACTGCTGCCCACATTTGTCACGTTTCCACTTACACTGGGAGGTGGTGTGAGTAGTGGTTAACAACGAGTCTGCGGTGGCCCCCTGGGTTCTAGACCTGCTCTGCTCTCACCACTGTGATTCTCTTCACATGACCTCACTCCCCTGTGCTCCTCAAACAGAGATGTGGAAAATAACAGCACACCGACAGGGATGTTGTGAAGGTGAACTGAGACAGTAGATGCAAAACACCGGAAATAGTGATAAGTGTGTGTCCCTTTTCCTGAATTCTGTTTTGGTCACAGGCAATGCAGAATCATCCATTGGAGACTTTCAGTACCAATGTATTTGCTGTTCCATGAGTCTCTGAAGCCAGCCAGGGATGGTCAGCAAATTCCCCCATGACTGAACATGGCCACAGGGCGGGCTAAAGTGAGACTGGCTGCCTGGTCCAGGCGGGGTGGGGGGTTAGAAGGAAAGCAGGAGTCAAAGGGTCTGGTTAGCCGCAGTTCTTTCCATAATTACCGCAAACAACAAACTCTCTGTGCAGACTCTCCAGGAGGGGTTCCCCAACCTTTTTGAAAGAAGGGCTTTATTTTCATTTCTATGAAGTCTTGAAATCATCAAGAGTAGGGGAAGCCAAATCTAAAACACCTCAGCAGAGCAGGGGAGGGAGCATCTCAGCCGGCTAAGTTTTATTTCCAACCTGAAAAGCATAATATCCGCTCCAGCCTGCAAACTCTCATATATTGAATTAAGTTTATTGTCTTTGGTAATGTCTGTTCCAGAAAAGGCTACATGGTGACTTTAAAAAAGGCCTGGCTCAGGGGAAGAAAGGGGCAAAGCTAATAGTTACTGAAGATTGATGACTTTCACATATATATGGCATTTAATCCTTCCTCTGACACTTTTGAGGAAAATGATGCACATAGACTTTAGAAAATGACAGAGCTCACTTCTCCACTAGTAACAGTGCAAGAATGTGAACTCAGGACTTCAGTATCTGCAATTAATTGTTAGTATGAGGCCATTTAATTCATATAACAGATATATACTGAGTTATTTCTATGTTCCAGGAACTATGGTAAATGCTAAATACACAGACCTGGAAGAGAGAAAAACAGATGATCCTCCACTCTCATGAGAACTAGAGTCCAATAGAGGAACCAGTATATGCAAACACATCCCATAAATATCAGTTATAACCTCCTAAGACCAAACACAAGGATTAAGAGAGTTAATTGGGTAGGGCAGACTTCTAATTGCCTATAAGTTGACACTGGCAGATGGGACTTACAAGAGGATTCCTTTCTGAACATTCAGGCTCTGCCATGAGAAGAAAAAACTGAAAAAGTCTATTCATCTATTCTGAGAGCTGATAGTTTGCCTTCCTTGCACCCTTAATTTAAAAATTTTGAGAATAAATTTAAAAATAAATAAATAAAATAAATTTGTAGGATTGCTTCCATTATTAGATTATAAAACCATAAAAAGAGAAATTATATGTCTTATTAATATTTGAATCTTGCCCAGTGCACAGTAAATTTTACAATAATAAGAATTCCATAAAATATCTCTTACATTGAATATACCTGAATTGATTATGAAGCATCTGATGCTTCCATCTCTAAAGAGCCAAGTTTCTTCCTTGTAGCGGAAACATGGAATGACAAAATATACAGAATCCCATGGAACTGAGCAGTGGACTCCAAACAGATGTGATATACCTCCTTTGGGGTCAAAGTATTGAAAGTGAGTAGATAAGCTTTCAGCTGCTCTTTCCCTTTGCCTCATTAACTACGATGCTATAGCTGATGGAGACTCCATCATCCTGGATTCCTGCATGCCTAAGTGGAATACAGCCTGCCCACCACAATGATGCATATTGAAGTGACGAAGCAGGCAGGAGTGGATGTGTTTGGCCATTGAGATGTCAGTTTCCTCTGTTATTGCAGTATAGCCTAGTCCTTACCAACTAATAGATTCCTCCATGTCTACCATCAGAGATACTGTGGGTAGGGCTCACTCAGTGGCTCTCAGGGAAAATAATGCCTAGGCTGAACTATCAGTTAGAGAAAATAAAGCAGTGTTCATTCATGGAAAATGGAAACTAAGGCATATGAAATCAACTTTGGCTTGGAATAGTCTAATGGTATTCAAACTGTCATGGAACACTATAGATACCCTCAGAGTGTCTCAGAAGCCAATGGTGTGACAAAGAGGACAGGACAAGAAGAGGACCCTGCATCTAATCCCAAGCAGAAAATTTTAATTTTTTCCTTTGTTATTCCTTCCAAGGAATATTTTATCAAAATATTGATTTTTAAAAAAAGATTAGAAATTATTGGCAAAACATCAGCACTTTCACAAGGAGAAAAACAGACAAAATCAAAATTACCATAAAATCAAAAGGATTATATTGGGTAAAAAGGATGAGGGCCAAATACAAATTACAATCTACTTGTCCCAAATTAATCGTCATCCAATTTTTCCTAGAGATTGTTCTATTCTTAAGTCACCTTCCATTACTTGCAAAAACAGGTTCTTTTTCTCTCTAGTAATTATTTTTAAAGTGTGGCCATCACCTGCCCTCCAGTGAGTCTCTTCTTGGTTATAATTGATAGCTTTATCCATTCTAACACAACCACAGCTCCCAAACTGCTTTTACTGGGGTACAGCCCCAGGAAAGCAATGCTGTCAATATATAGAGGGACCAGCACATAATCACCTTCTCGTCTTCCCATTTGGATACAGATGAGATATATTATATGTGTAAAATAATAATAATAATACTTGTGGCAGTGTGATCTAGCAGAAAGAGCCCTGGGCTTCAGTTTTTGCTTTGGTATTGCTCTCTCCAGATTAGACCTTATCATCTCTGAACTTTCTTTCCCTTGCTGGAAAAATAAAATAAAATTGGAGAAGGAGATGGGAAAATGAGAAGAAAAAATAGTAATATTTACCCTATCTATGTATAGCTATGATAATCAAATGAAGTCAGATGAGTAAACACTTTGATGAGAAAGCTCTATAAATACGAGATGAAGGTATTTATATGTCTAGAATTAATGATTCCTCAGAAAAGGGGGTATAAAAGGAGACTTTGGTCGACTACCAACATGTAGTTTATTGAATGTAATACAAAGAATTATGTAGCCCTTTCCATAGCTGGAAACCCTGACCACATCCCGTGCACAATGGGGCTTTCACACAACCTTAAGAAAACAGACTGGGGCTGAGACACAGTGCTCCTGCTTTCTTTGGGAGAAAATATAAACCAAGGAAAGGGCGTGGGTGGGGGGTGGCCCTTCACTCTAATTGTAAGCTGTTTCCTCCTCCAGGCAGTTTGGAGTGCCCTGAAGTAACCACCTGCACAGAGGCTGTGAACAGGAGCCTCGATGAAGCAGATAAGCTCTTTACTGCTCCACTCTCAGAATCCCTGAAACTTGGAGGAAATCACGAAAATGGAATCAGATGACTGCCCAGGTTTTCTTCTTAATATTCAAAGACCAATCTAAAATGTTCTCCTGTTAGGCTCTCCAATGAGACTCAGGAAGACCAGAGTGGATTACACACACACACTCACACACACACACGCACGCACACATGCACACACACCAAGCACATTTTCATCTATTATTGTTTAGTCTCTTTTTAATTCTTACTGTATATACTCTTGAATATATGTGTGCATATACATATATAAATACACTCTCATCTTTGAGTTACCAAGTTTGTCTCCCTCAAAACTTTTGCAAATATTAAAATGATCTGTCAAAACTCAAGAAGTGAGTTTCTATGAGCCTGGAGTACAGGCAGCTGACACCGACAGAAGCAAATCACTGTGCCTGAAGGTGCACGGAAAGCCCAAAATAGAGTCCTGCTTATCAACCGGCACTTGATCTTTGCCTCTCTGTGCAAGAATGTCATTGAAACGTGTCATCCCTTGGACACTGGCTGCAATTCTTTCCTCCTTCTAGTGTCTCTTCCAGGTGTCCCACAACCTCACATTGTCCCTTCAGTCATTCCTTGTCCCTTATCTGGCAGCTCTGACTCACTTACCCAGGGGAATCTTCTCCAGCAGGTAGAGGTAGCTCTGAAAGAAGTCATTGCGAATGGCTCGGTGAAGGATGAAGGACATGCTGTGCCGGCAGAGTTCACCATCGGTCTTCTGCCAGCGGGATCTAAAGGCAAAATGGGCTCCCAGATGGGCCATGGAGGAGCAGGGCAATGACTTCTGAAGAGAAAGAAAGCTTGTCTGACTGTTTCTTTGAATTAGCCTTCTCTTCCTAAAAGAACTCGAGACTGTCATTTTAAACCAGTCCCCTGTCCATCTATATCAGGACAGTCTGTCATGGGGTGTGGGGGAAGGGCAGCAAACGTGGGGAGGTCAGGCTCCTGGCACAGACTCCCTCTGATTGCTTGGGCGACACCACTCCAAGCCAGCAGGTGCTAAGATGAAAACAGGCTGCATGAGATCCTGCTCCATCTGGGGAAAAGCACGCTTCCCTTCGTTAGCTGCTGCTTCAAACAGGCTCCAGTACAGCCTGCCAACACCCTGAATATTTGCTTTAATTTGATTCCTAAATTGAAATAGCCTAATTTCCATTTCAAAGAGTTGTGAATATTTTGCAGGAGATCCTATTCCCTGATTTCCATTGCTCCTTCTGGAACACTGCATCCTCAAGTTACAAGGTCCCTTTCAAAGTCATCTCAGCCACTCAGATTCCTTTCATCAGTACAATTTTCCCCAAATCACTTCATAGAGATGGATATGTGTTTCATATTTTTAAGGCTCTTCAAGAGATGCAATTATTTGAAAGCCTGTTTTGATGTCAGATACCCTGCTCTATCAGCAAGCTCTTGCATTTATTCTAAACAACCCTACCCACAGGCCTCTCTGCCCAACGTGGGTATGATTTCCTCCAGAGTGCATTTGTTTTCTGGACTGCCTTCTCTGTCCCTCCATACCTACTCTCCACCCTTCACTTCACTCTGTGCCCAGGAGGCTGACCTTCAGACTACATCAGCGGACACCCTACTCTGCCTCCTAGCTGGGTTCAGCCGTAGACAGTCCCCTTGGCACCTTTCCTGCAGAGAGGCCATAGGCTCACCACATGCTTTAACAGAAAGGCATAGCTAGCTCCTGCTGGGGTCTGCTCATGCAAATACTGTCTCCTGGTTCCAATCCTTTCTCCTTATTGCTTGAATGTCAGTGACATGGCTGTCCACCTGCAAGCCACAGAGCAGGCCTCTGCTCCCTGCGGAGAAGATGCAGAGGAGCACAGGAGACTGGAGCAGCAAGAGGGGCGGCCGGGTGGGTTGGAACACAGGCGCGAGCACGCCCTGGCCTGTGGAGCTTGCAGCCCAGAGCCCAGGCCAGCCAAGATGCGCCGACCTGTCACCCTTGGGCTACCAGGCCTGGGCGCTGTACAGTCGCCTGCTGCAGAAGCCTGCTCCACGCAGCGCTGCAGCCCAGAACCCGGGAGCACAGACCACCCGGCCACCTCAACCTCCCACTTCCTGACCTGCGTGGAGAAAATGGAAGTGGGGCTGAATGGAAGTCGGGACTCAAGAATTGGCCAACGGCATTAGCACCTTTCTAAACTCTAATCAGCATAGGTTTGCACCAATAGCAGTAATCCAATTGCTATATAAATTCCTAGCGCACCGTGGATGGAGAAAGCAGCTGTTGGGACTCTGTTTTGCACTGCAAAAGTTCTGTTCCTGCTTCCGTTTTTCAGTAAATCCTTCGGTTACACTCATCATCTTGTTCCAGGAGGTAAGAACCCAAAACAGAAGTTGACGGTGAGCTGTTGGGGCCTACTCTTGACAGCTATAACACTTCTTAGCTGCTAGAGGTCTCCAAACTTACACAGACCCCACGTGCCAGCAGAAGTAGGGAATCAAGTTTTATCTCAAAAATTCTTGTATCAGGCTGTTAGGAACTCAATGTCTTGTGATTTACCTAGACTTTCCCCTTTCTTTGGAAGTAGTTCTTGGTGATCCAGCTCACATTACCTACTTGTGATTGTCATTTGCTGCCTGCAGGGACCATGACTACTGTTTTACTCCTGTAATGTTCCTAGTAGAAAAGGTGCTGTTAGCACCGTACCCTGTGCACTCTCCGACTCTCTGAATGTACACGTGTACAAGCCATATAAATCACACATTATTGTCAGCATCTTCTAAGACGACCCCTATATAGTCAGTTCAGGCTCCTGTAACATATCACAAGAGTCTGGGGGACTTAAACAGCAAACATTTATTTCTCACATTTCTGAAAGCTGGGAAGTCCAAGACCAAGGTGGAGGCAGATCCCATGTTTAGCGAGTGCCTTCTTCTTGGTTTACAAATGGCCCTCTTCTTGTTGTATGTTCACATGGCGGAGAACAGAGTGAAATCAAGCTCTGGTCTCTCTAAAAGCCCACCCATAATGGCTCCATCCTTATCTCTTTAATCCAAGGCATCATCTCCACATCCCATCACATTAGGGGTTAGATTTTCAATGTAGGAAGTCTTCATCCCCACCTAAAAACCCTTGCTTCCTCCTGCCTCTTTGTTCATGCCTTTCTGCCACCCCCTCCTTGAAGAAAGTCCAGCTGGACGGACTGGCTCAACTCTAAAGGTTAATAAATGGCACAAGTGACAGGATGTGGCTTTCCAGATGAGGTTATATAAAGACTGCCTTCAGCATCTTATTTCTCTCCCCCTGTCCTCACACCACCATCTCGCCTTCTCTCTTATTTGCTCTCAGGAAAGCTGGCTGCCTGTTAATGCCCCACAGAGAGCCACATGTCAAGGATCTGCCTTCCTCATGGAACAGCCTGAGTGGAACTGAATCTACCAACGACCATGTGAGTGAGCTCAGAAGCAAATCCCTCCCCAACCAATTGTTCAGCAACAACCTGATGAGAGACCCTGAGCCAGCTAAGCCACACCCAATTTACTAACCCACCAAGCTGTTTTTATTCTTTAAAGCAGTTAAATTTGAGGATAATTTGGCACAATGCACCCATGGATACCTAATTTATCTATCATCCTTGAAATATTTTTAAGATGTGACATCTAACCATAATCTTTCCTTAAGTTTCACATATGTGTTAATCTTTTCCTGGAAAGGGGAGTGGAGAGTCTGTTTGACTCTGATTTATTTTCCTTCATTTTTCTAAGCTTCTGTATTCCCATTTGCCCCTGTTCCCAGAAGAAGGGACAGCCATTCAATTTTAGTGGAAATGTCCCCATCTTCGGCCTCAAGAATTGCCCAGGTTATAAAGTGAGTCATCAACTTTCCTCTCTCCGTTTGTGGTTCATGGATAGATGCATTGCTCAGGCCTGAGCCAATCAACACAGTCTCTTCCCCTGGCTCGAGTGGGCACATCATCTAAGTCTGTTATTGCTAATGTCAGCTTGAATTGGGTTTTGTTTTATTTTGTGCTAACAACACAGAGTACTGTCTAATGCAAATAATATCCAGCATCATATTTACTCAGGAAATTCTCATAAGAATAGAAATTGAATAGATATCAAACTGAATAGAAATTTCAAGTGGGATTATTTCATAGTGTAAGAAGGCTGGCTCTTAGCTGGAATGAAACAGATGTGACTGAGTTAGAAATGCATTTCTACCATGTATATCTGGGGTAACCTTGATAAATTAATTTCCTAGTCCATCTGGCCTCACTTTCCTCTTCTGTAAAATGAAAATGTTGTTGTATCTTGTCTGACTGTTGTGAGAATTAAATAAAATACTCCATGTGAGACACCACCCCGTGCCTAGCACACAGCACATGGCCAGCAAGTGCTGGCTAGTGTCATTCCAATCTTTGGAAGAAAGCTGATGATAACAAATTACAGGCTCTCCATTCACAACATATCCAGGAGTGGTAAATTCTCTTTATCTGAAAATACCCTTATTTCCTCCTGTTCGTTGAATTTCTGTTTAAAGCCTTATGAAATTTTAATTGTACTCTGTGCATTAAAGAATGGAAAAGAAAGACATCTAAAGGAAGTGAGCTGTTGGAGCCCATGCTTCTGCCCTTTGGCATTTTCTGTCTTGTGGGAAAGCTAAGTAGAAGATGGCTTGGTATTCTCCTTGTGCCTAAAGGGAGGCTGGTTCTTAACCCCAATGACTTAGCTATGTTTTGATAACCCCTCCTATGGGGAAGGGTCAGGATGTTTGGTCCTAGGAGAGGACTGACTGACTCCCGCTACTCAGTACTGCTTATTTGGCAATTGATATTGGCATGCTTCTCAGTTTTTACACAACTAATTTTCCTCCACTATAAATTGGACATTAATTATTTGTGTTTGGACAAGGATTATTAAGTGTTCTACAATCTTTACATTTCAGGCCTATAATTCCTGACAGGGGTGAAAGACTGGTTGATACAAAACGGCTTTGTCGAATTGTGTTTGTTTCTGTAGGTCACATTAGATTTTGCGACTCTTTCTCATAGCGACATGGTCTGAACCAGTTTCTGGCTCACTGCATTTGTTTCCTTAAGACTATAATTTTTCTCTCACACTGAAATGCCCTATTTGCTGCCTCCCTGCACCATTCTTGGCCACATTCATGCCAAGTGAGGTGATAGAGATCTCAAGTCTAACACAAGCATCCAATTTCCAGGCAGGATAGGAAAACAATGAATGCAGGAGAAAGAAAAACGATGCAGCCGAACAAAGTAGAAACTCTGAATTTACCAATCCTGGTTTGCCTTCTCACAGTGGATCCCTGGGTGGGGGGTGACAACTGTTAAAAACCAATGATCAGGGAGAGAGACTCAGAAGTAAGGAGAATAAGGAAGAAAGGCTGTGTAAAAAGCATACTCCTCAGGCGATGTGATAAGATAAATATTTGTGGAAATTCACTCGGTGTGAAATACACATCAATTAAAATTTCATAAGGCTTTAAACAGAAATTCAACGAACAGGAGGAAATAAGGGTATTTTCAGACAAAGAGAATTTACCACTTCAGAGGCTCACTGGAAGAATGACTGCAAAACCCACTTCAGGGAAAAAAAAATTGAGACAGAAGAATAGGTCTTCTTAAAAGATTAACAACACAGAGCACAGAGCCCCCAAATAAATCTATTCACATGTTGTAACGTGATAGAAGACAGAGACAAGATATTCTCAATAATGGCCTTGGTGTTGGCATACTGGGATTCCTGACTGACATCACGTCATTCACAACCCTATCCCAGGTAGATTCGAGATTTAAATATGGGAAGTCAAATTCCAAAATTCTTTGAACACATTTAAAGAAATATCTTTATGTAAAAAAATGTATAGTCTTTCTTAATATGAGAAAACAAAAGCCATAAAGAGTAATCAATTTGACGATTTAAAATTAGAATAATGAAATTTTGTTCATCAAAAGAAACC